TACATCTCTTTTTTATTGGGGCTTTGCCTCAAATGAAAAATGTGTGGAATCCCGACATCCCCTTTCATTTCACAGAAATGATTTTTCCACTTCACAACAACACACTATATTGAACACTGCGTCTTCCAATCACCAATTTTAACAGTCGCAGTACAGTCAGTAAAACCTATAAATTAAATTTGCCTCCTCTTCCTTCCCCAGAAGAAAATCTTTCTGCTCCTTGAACAGATTCCTTTTCTAAAACACTCTTTGCTTCTTCAAATTCCTTTCTCAAATGGTCTTCTTGAGTCAGGCCAGAATAGGCAGAATCATACGCGGACCGACGGTCTTGACGAAGACAGAGCTGAGGAAATGACAGCAGCTGCCTTGCTAGCAGTTTGGCTTCAGAGAGAGACTTTCCATGTTGAACAATTCTGTTTGCAAGGCCTATAAAATGTCAAAATGCATAATTATGAAAACCAAAAACTGTACACTATAGCAACTATTGGATACAACTGGTGAGCAAAGCATCATGGTTAAGTTCTCCAACAAAAGGTTGTGATGATCATTAACCCCAAAACGTAGGTAGGTCACATAGCTAACTACTTTTGAAGACTATAGTATACCAAAACTGTATGCTTCCTTGGCATCCACTGGTCTTCCAGTTAGGATCATATCCATAGCCCGAGAGAGGCCAATCAATTGATGTAGTCTCACTGTACCACCGTCCATGAGTGGGACCCCTGCATTGAAAGCACATGCTAGACCCTGAGCCTTCGACACTCAGTCGAACATACCGAACCGACGGCAGAAAACTCCAAAAGTAGCAGTCTCTTCCACCACTCTCATGTCACACATAAGGGCCAACTCTAGCCCACCAGCCACTGCATATCCACTCACTGCAGCTATCACTGGCTTACTTAACCTAGTAAGGTGTGTTGGCCCCTGGAAACAAGGCTGTACATTCAAGAAATTTCAATACAACAGCTCACACCATTGGAGCTGGTCCCAGTTCATATTTTCCAAGAATACTCGCAACTGATGTCCCAGCTAGCTCCTTTAGATCATAGCCAGCACAAAAGTGTCCTCCTCTACCAGACAGTACAGCGACACCACACTCTTCAGTCTCTTCAAACATCATAAAGGCCCTGTTAGGGTATTCGATAACATTCACACACCCCGCACCCAGATAGTCTAATGCATTTTCGCAAAGCGTCAATATAATAAAACAGGCAACATCTATAACGCTATTTTTTACAGACATTGCATTTATGTGTAACTGTCTTGCCACTGCTTTTTGCTGTTGGATGCATTGTATATACTTGCTTCCCACTATGGCTGTTTGGCAAACTGTGGAGTCATTCCAGCCCAGATATTCCAAGCATGCGGCCCGACAACCTTTTGCTAAGGCGATCTTTTTCACAAGCCTAAATTGGACTGGGGGTCCACTTCTTCCCCGGACTAATTTTTGTGACCGCAACATAGAGGAGTATGGTCAACTCAGTTAGTGCATATGTTCAGTATGGGCATTAGTGTGGTAACCAGCATATATAGTAGAGTCGACCTGTGTAACTCTGCAGCAGTCCCATGGTTTACACAGTTTCTAACTTCGGGGCGATTTATCTCCACCATGAAAACACCATCTTCCTTGGTAATCTGTATGTGGAATTACTGCAGTGATCAAGATCTGAGCAACTACAGTTACCTCTGTATACTCCTGTTTTGACGAAAAACATCTTCTTAGTTTTCTGGGGGAAACAAAAGCCCTATTCTTGGCACTGAGCATTTCGGGTCGGATCAGCACCACGCCCACTACTATCCCGCGCAGTCGCGGAAGTGGCCCGATCTTCCCCCGGTGTATATAGTAGTAGTGAGCATGCGCAGGATAATTTTGCGCGGGCGATCTCTCCGCGCGAAGAACGTCAACGGGAAGGTCTGGGCTAGCTCGAGCAGGGTAGACACTGCCCCCGCACAAATCCCATACGCTCAACGACAGCTGCTTCCCTACCACTTACAGAGCCCTGCCTACACAAGCCAGCTGTTCCTCCTATCTCTAAGAAGTGCTGCACGCAGAGAGAGCGTATGTAATTGTGCGGGCCCGGGGGAGGGGCGGGGCATAGTTAGTATAGTACGTACAGTGTGTCTACCCTCACGTGATGTCAGAGGCGCGACAGTACAGCGCAGCTAGCTCTAGCTAGCTAGCTAGGCCGCCGGCAGCCTCCACACCGTTTCTTCTTCCGGCGGCGGCGGAGATACGATCGCCCACGCACAAATTATTCCGCGCATGCTCGCGGCTATATGGGGGGAAGGCCGGGCTCTACACACGTGTAGAGGGAGGCCGCGCACAGGTCTTGCACGCAAAAGGTGCGGTTCATAGAATTGTGCGCTCCTGCAAAATTGGGAATTCGTATTCTGTTCGTCGCGGTGCAATTCGAAGGTGTCGAAATGGCTGCTTTGGCTCTGGTTCTAACTGTGTTCTGTATCTCTACTATTGTCTACTGTAATCCCGTGATCGAAGTATCGTGCGACTACGGTGAATACAGCAAGTGGAAACCAGGCTTTAGGCCTGTACCAACCCACCAATGTGCGAGCGGCTACGTGGTTGTAGAGAAGAGAAATAGAACCACCCTCTCTGGTGACTGTGATAACCAAACAGAAGAAAGAATAGCAGAATGTAAGTATAATCGTGTTTGCTAATTTTAATTTAAAGCTGCACTTGTATTCTTCGACTACGGCTCCACTGCACTAGGGTTAGCTACACAATAACGTTACGCCAACACTAGCACGACTCTTTTCGCAAGCCTTGCATTGAATAACAGATCTATGGCCTGCAGGTGCCCCAGAGCAGAGTTTGAGGCTTGCAATGCTCTTGGATCTTGGTGGGGCTGGACAAAATATGAACAGCTTAGGCCTTCGTGCAACTGAGGGCAGTGGAAGGTTCGGCAGAGGGGCCAACCTTCCTTGGGATGATGAAGACTATCGTATGGGCCGACATGTTCACATATGCCACAACCGAGGTAATGTGTTACAGCATTTTGCTCTTTATTGCTCTCTTTCCACATCAAAGTTACAATACCAAAGCCTAGCAGTAATATTTTTTTGCATGCAGTGGTTTAAACTACTACACAAAATTAATTCCACTTCCTTTGGAGAGCAGACAAGATAGAGTAGAATGTTGTAGTACCTACTCCCACAGATAGACACCCTGGAGCCAACATGTGTTGTTCAGCACTATAGTAATGACACAGCCACACAACCTCAGTTAGCTGATCTCTGATTGCCCAGATTGGTATCACAGCAGCAAAATACCTGCTGGCTGGTACGAAAATTGAATAGTAGCTATATATCTGCCAAGTTAGTAGCTACTGATTAATAGTCTTAGTGCACATAATGCTGTACTTTCAAACTTTCCCTTCGTCTTATAAAACACCTAGACAAACGGCTGGCCCCTAGCTATATATATAGCTACCAAGTGTTGAGCAAATAAGGATGAATGTGTGCATATGCTTAGTTTCCCTGGTAGCTCAGTTGGTAGCTAGAGCACTCGCCTAGACTGCAGAGTGGCGTGTGTTCGAATCCCACCTAGGGCAGCTCTTCTTTTTCCTTGGATAAAAAGAGCTGTCCTGGGTGTAGTTGATTTGTCTGTTGTGCCTTTGCCTTTCTACCTCGTAGTTTTCACACGTAGCTACTGACGTGTACAATACTTAGGCCAATGGCAAGACCAAGGTCCACTGTATAATAAAACACAACATAACAAAGAATGAAATTAAAAGGGTTTACGAAAACTTCACGAATCACTACTTTTTTGACTACTCATTACACTTGGAATTAGTGATGATCAACAATTTTAGGCATATTAACTCTGGCTCCAGCCCTCTGGCAGCAACTGCAGTTGCCATAAGATATATAGGCTCATTTGTGTGAAGGTATCTGGAATGCTAATGTAAATTATAAAGCCATTAAAAACTAAATTCTCCTTAGGACGAAGAAGTGATGACGCTGATGATGACAAAGTGGAAAACCATGAGTATGAAACACAACCCCATTCCACTCCTGAACCGCAACCGCTAGAGAATGACCCAGTTGAATTTGATATCCACAAGCACGGTCATAGATACAGGCGTACAACACAGTGTGAAGTGCAGCATGTTCTGTTTCTTCTTGATACGTCCGGGAGCATAGGCAGGCATGACTTCAAGAGACTAACCACTACACTTGGTGATCTGGTTCCTCTGTTTTGCAAGTCAATCGAAATCGCTGCAATGACATTCAGCCAAAACCACTTTCTGGAATTTTGCTTCAATGAATTTGACAATGACTGCGCTGGCCGATTTGCAGCCAGGAGAGCCATTAGGTCCATACAATATCGGGGAGGTTCAACTCACACAGCTGAAGCTGTACAATGCGCCTTTGACAATATTCTCATGCCCAGCTGTGGCTTAGCACAAGATGCTGAATGTATCAGCATAGTGTTCTTTACAGATGGGATGTCTAACGGACCTGGCAATGTTTGTGAAGTAGTCGAACAATTAAAGCAACAGCGCAAGTTCGAGTCCTTCTCAGTTGGGATTGGAAAATCGACCAACCAAGATGAGTTGAGGTGTCTGGCAAGCGATGCAGACAACAACTTGTTCCAGTTTCCAAGTTTTGGCCAATTTGTCAAGGAACTGGGCATGATCGAATCAGTGTTTGCAAAAACTGGGTTTTCATGCGTGAATCCAGTGGGATCAAAGCCATCTGAAACTTTTGATGATACAGGGTCTGAATGCACTAAGTTTTCTTTTCAATCTGGTGATGGGTCAGGGGACTATTCTGGCTGACTGACTGTACGCTATCATCATTACGGACCCCTTAGCAGATAACTGCAGTACTATAATTATCGGACCCCAATTGTTTCGAGCATGCGCGCTCTCGCTGGCACGACGCATGCGCAAAAAGCAGCACCCTTCGCGTGCGCGCGTACGTACGTAGCGGCGTTTTTACCCAGGCTCGGCGCCCTTACGTACGTAGTCGCGGTTATCACGCCGTAATTACCTTCTGTGGGTGAAATATCCCTGCCTACTGATGCCGCCGGCGCCGTTGCGTAGTGGCCGCCCGGCCCCCCGGCCCCCCGGTGACAAAAACGACAGTGCGCATGCGCACAGTAGGGTACACACACACATACACAACTCAGCACTGAAACAAATCAAGAAATTGCTGTGAAGTAAGTCCTGTACAGACGTTCTGGAAACTCCCAATGGCCGTGAGAGGTTGTGGTGAGTTTGTGATCGGGGTGGTGCAAGGATGACCATAATCCTGCAAGAAAGGACACAAAACAAACCAGGAACTATTATAGGAGGCACTGCAGTAGGGCAGGGGCAGGTGGCAAAAGTAGAGGAAGCCATGGGATCTGCTGCCTCCCCATAAGTGTATTTTAAGATGTCCTTTTAAGCTCAACTCTACCAGACGAGACAGAGAACAGAAGAACTTACTCTCCAGTAAACACAGTCACACACTTTACATAAAACGAAAGCATAAGAAACATTTGTTTTCAATTCCTTCTTCTTTGACCTGGAAAAATAAATAAACTTAGAGGCAGAGCACTATAATGGATGGACTGGCTGACTCACAAGTATACTTCCTTGAATATCTCCAGAGCTTTAGTTTCATGTTGATATACCACAGGATCAGGCTGAGGTATATAATACACATACAATTACGTGCAAGTTATGTTCTTTAATTGGCGAGCGAAGCAAGCCCACCTAGTTGTCTGAATGCGGGATTTTTCCTATTTCATTTCCCTCTATAACAGTAAACGGACGAAGATGTATACCATAATGTCTACGTGGTTCTAAATATGTACAAAAACACGTGTAATATTGAAATGCTCGCTTCGCTCACCAATAATGCATTGCATTCCTCAGTTATCGTAGGTGTGCAAAAGGCTAATTACCCGAGTTCTACAGACTGGCAGCTGGCCTGACGTGCATGTGTGTAGTTAGGCACAATACGTTCATGGTGCCAGCCAGTAGGCCATCTCCAGCTGGGCAGAACTTCATGCTGACAAGCATTGAGACCTTGATCTCTGTTTACAACATTGCCGCCACCCGTGCCAAGACTGCTAAGGAGTTTTTTCCTGAGTGCCAGGGAGCAGAAACACAAGCAACTACAAACACCCTAGGTGGTGCTGGATGGTATTAAACACTACTTATCCTTCATCAGACTTACTCTTCCATAGTGGTACTCAGCGAGTGACCTCCATACTGGGCATTCTGACGTCAGGGAATGGAGGGTGCTACAGGGAAAACAGTACTGATTATGGGGGCATGCAATAAGGGGGTGATAAAAATACCCAGTGTCAGTCTTCATGATGTATATACTGGCTTAGTCAAAACACAAGTATATACCTTTACATAACGTGAGTCCATGCAAGTGCCAGTGACTTATAACAAAGTATGGTTACAGCCGTTTATCACTCACTAGGTATTTAAAACCTCACTTCCATTTTTCCAGCATTACTATATGCACAGCATTTTAATGTCGAACCAAAAATAAGTTTTTTTGGCCAGTCAAGGAGCCAGTAAATGTCATTCATACCTATTTACACAGCCAAGACTTAGCACATCTTGTGGCTGATCCAGGAAGCCAATAATAAGCCTCCAGCAGTCGTCAGGCAGATAGGGGACCTTGACACACTTAGCTTTCTGGAGCTCTCCCACTAGCTGTGCTCTGGAGGTTAGAATACTCTTGATCTTTGCATCCAACCTTGAGACTGTGAATCCTGTCATCATCTTTTCACGACCTAAACACAATCATAAAACAAAACTGCGATTCAAGGACATTAAAACGTAAGTGAGTAGGTGAGAAGTGATGCCACAGCACTGAATGAACCTTAAAACACACAAGTTTGCACTGACACCAGATGTGTTTTGTGTCAAATATCTATGTACATATGCAGCATGTCACCTTTCTCAAGTGCAAATATCTGTTTCTCTATCAAACTCAGGATATACCCAGTTTGTTGTCTGCTCTCAATTGCTATTAGAAAGCAAATAAGAGAAATGCAATCAAAGATTTGCAAAAGCATGTCATACCAATGTCCTTTGCTGCACTGGTGAGTCTCAGTAACGTTGTTTGCATGCTTCCACTTAGCGTCCAGTAACGGTCCTCGTATAATCTCTCTATCACCTGTTAACATCTCTGCTTGTTACTCACAAACTTTACTATACCATTATACCTTGCATATGAAAGGGTAACAGTTAGCGTCCAGAAGGGCTTGACTGAAGTTAAGTTTACTAATTGCATCACTTATGGTGGCATACTGGTTACTCTGCGAGAAGGGGTAAATATAGACATCATCCGTCTGACTACATTTGTGGTTGGATACAATTATACTTAAATCACATCTCCCTCATGGCTATAATTAGTCAGCAGAGTATTAATCAGATGGTGAGCACAACAGCTACCCTGCCTTAAAATCATTTCTGGTGGGTCTTAATTAAGGGTGTGGGCCAGCTGGGGAGCATGAAATCACACCTAAATAGTTAGATTTGGTGCTTGACTTGGAGAAAGCATTGAGAGGATAATCACGTAGCTAAGTATGCTGCACTAGACCAGCTCAGCATACGGCCTATAGTATGAACTGGCTATTGAAGTGAGTGGCTACAAACCCTATATATACCTCTCTGGAACTACCTCTCGCAGAAATGCATCGCTGTGCTAAAAGGGAAAGAATAGTTTGTTTTTTTTAATTCCAAATACACAGGCATTCTCTTACCGAGACAAAGCCGATGTCGCCTCCATCTCCGTTCATCAAAAGTCACAGTCCCAGCTCTGTTACCGGACGTTAGTTTACAATGGTTTCCTTTTCCTTTGTCAGGACTGCTAGCCCTCGAACTTCCCCGCGATGAGTTGCAAGTGGTATTTCCCGGGCTCCCACTTCGACTGCGCAACACAGATACGCTCCGTTTCGCAGCTTTACCGATTTGTCGCTGAAGCGTGGAGTGTATTTCAGATAAACGTTTCCAGCCAAATTCTGTACGGATCCATTTGTTACCGGGTGCTCGCCAATCGCTGCCAAAGAAAGGCATGTCAGCCTGTCGCACAGTGTATATCAGTTCCCTTCACCAACTCGTAGCAGTTTTATAGCAATGTATTACGTACTTGAATTGTCATTCTTAACCTATTAAGGCGATTGTGTTCTAAAATTAGTAACACGGGGTCCACCGCCCAGCTGTGTATGCTGACTCAGCATTTTCATGTAACCGAGGCTCTCGTGCGTCTTTTTGGTATATATGTCATCCTCCAAGTCTCACGGCGTTCAAAACATAAGATTCAATCAAGATTTCGGTGAGGTGTGTTTCCTGTGATAGAGAACAACGAAGGCATTCCTGTGTTGTGTTTGTGTAGGATGTTTCACTGTTTCCATGGACTCGGGAGTGAGGATTTACAATGTCGAGCCTCTGACTGAGCATGGAAGAATTGATAACAAACAAATCCACGCACTTGACTTCACCGTAGTGTGGCTCAAAACGCGCAGACTATGACACAGTGGGGGGTATTGCACATGCTGAGATGTTGGGCAGGACTAATCTGCTGGCTCTGGTTGCTGGTGGTGCAACACCAAGGTTTCCAGACCGAAATGGTCAGTTGCATTTTGTGGGGTGAGTTTAGCTCAATGATGCTCTCATAAGCTGATGCATAAGTGATGTGTGCAAGTGCAAAGCAAGCGAAATGAGTACCTTGGGTGGGACTAGAACCCATGACACTCTACTGTCTACACAGTGCTCTACCCACTGAGCTAGGCTGCCAGGGCAGCTCAGTAGGCAGGGGGGCTCATTATACAATGTACAAAGGCAAACCCCTGAGTGGGACACTAGAAAACGTAACACACATCTATGTATGGCTTGTGCAGTGATGGTGTGGGATGATTTGAAACGAGCAGTCATCTTTGAGATTGGACTACCTTCTCAGGTTCTCTCTGTGAGATGGAGAAAAGACAAGTAAGTTCTCCTGTAGCTATATGCAGGACCTAACAACAGTTAGTATTTATACAGTAATTATATTGTGTCAGTGGTGAACAAAACTATGTAGCTGTCAGTCACTCCCAGTGTGTGAGTACCAAGGGTAGGTATAGGCAAGTTTTTTCCATTAACAACCACGCCGGTAAGAATGGCACTTCACGAATGCCTATACCGTTACATTTACGAATGTATACGAAACCTAGCTATGGACGCACTAACATTGACCGATAATCTCCTGTACCTGGGTCTCAAACATGGATTATAGAAACATTAAACTTCAGTATACCCACATCATTCCTCTGTGCCTGTTTTGTGCTTTTAATAGCATTACTCTCAATTTGTGTCTTCATGGCACAGAATATCTTCCTAGCTTTCTCCAACTCAGTTGGTACTACAGACTATGAAAAGTTATGATTGTATGTTTTTTCATTACAGGTTGATTGTGGTTTTAATAAATGAGATACATGTGTTTTATTTCCCCACATCCTCAACTTCTGAGGCCTCCACACCCTCCCCTAAGCATCTCAGTACAGTCACCACTTCTCTCAACCCACGTGGCCTCTGTGAGGTATATAAGACCCATATTGTCATCCTGTATATATGTGAGGAGTGAGACAAGCTTTGCACAGTTAGGTTAATGAAACAGCTGTTCTTGTGATCATTTCAGAGTTGATATATAGGGGGCTACCCAGTATTTTGTTACGAAAAAGTAAGATGAATTTACATCTCAATGTCACAGTCTGATTACTAATACTATCATGCTGTGACTGTATGTAAACCTTCATCGTTACAAAGCTCACATAACTGCTATGGTTTGCAGCTATGTAACAGCCATAATCACGTACAATTTCTTGTAGGTATGCTCTAGTGTAGACTGTCAACTAATGGTATACCCAGCCAGACAAAGAGGAGCTGTCTTGCTGAAGGTATATACTGTGAATTTGTCATTGTAACATCTCAACTGTGAATGGTAGTACACCTGACAGGATCTGGTGTGTCTTGACCAGGAGAGAGAGGAGAGGGGAGGTCAAGGTGGGAGTGAGAGTGTGTGCACCACCCACTCCCATGACCTGACTGCTATCGCCCTCTCTCCCAGAGGAAACATGGTCGCCACTGCATCCACTAAGGTATGGATCTCATAATAATGATTAATCCTCGATTGTAAAGTGTTCCGGCCTGCATTACAAGCGGCAATAACAGTGAGCATGGATTATGAGCAACGAAGTAATCATGCATGGCATTATGTAGTGCCGTGCTTGTATATACCATTCAGTAATACTAGAGGTTGGCTGTATGGTGCTGTACGACTTTTTAAATGGCAGCTGAGCCTTTACTTAAGAATGTGTGTGCTGATAGAGCTTTTTTTCTACTCGTTTACACTCTTCGCCATTCTTTTAAGTCTACCAGGCATGAGACTGGGAGCAAGATATGCAACACGCATCAATTTGTGGTAACCTTGTGAAGAAAGTTATCCGTTCCATTACACACGTACACAATTATTTGGGTTGGCTAACTTGTCACCAAATGTGTGACATACGCAATTCCATAGGGAACTATCATTAGGGTGCATAGTACATCATCCAGGGATCTTGTGGCTGAGTTCAGACGTGGAACTGACTCAGCAAACATCAACTGGTAAGTTACAATACCAATATCTGATGAACCTCAAGTTATGGTATTTCAAAGAAACGCGCAATGTCAAATTCATTACTACAAATGAATTTCCAACACTAAATGTGGTCACTGACGACTTTCCTTTATACATAGAACTGGTAGATGTATCCAAACATGTTTTCCTTCCTTCTAGTCTATGTTTTAGCCTGGACTCTGAGTACATGTTGTGTTCCAGTGACAAGGCCACAGTTCATATTTTTTCCATTAAAGATCAGACTCTAAATAAGAAGTTAAGGTATGTGTGCACCTATGTTCATTACAACGATATTATTTCTACCTACATTCATGCAGTTTACCAGCAGTGGGTATCCTAAGTAGAGCAGTATCCAGCTACACTGAGAGTCAGTGGGGGCTGGCTCAGTTCAGTCTTGCAAAAGAAGGTCAGTGCGTCTGTGCCTTTTCCGGAAGCAGGTCCGTTGTGGGTAAGTTTTCGCCCATTAGAACGGTGTATAGTAGGCTGTTGTTTTCTTCGTTATTATAGCCCTGTGTGCAGATGGCAGCTGTCATAAGTACACATTCACCACCGATGGAAACTGCTCTAGAGATGCCTTCAACATGTTTCTCGACATGTTTGATGATCATATGTAAGAACTTGTCTCAAACCCACACACCGGACAATGCTACATTATTAATGTATATCCTTTTTCAACATGTTTCTATGGGACAAAACAGTGCTGTGAAACTGTTACATGAGACATGAGCATGAGGCATGTTCATAGGGGCAATACAATAGACAGAAATTGATTATTGGTGTGGGTGGTGTGCTGGCCAAAGGTATATAGCTCACCACTGTATCTGTAACGTCAGTTCAGAACACATACACACACATGACTATGTATTTGCACCCATGGGACATGGCCAACTGCATAATGTGTGGAGTTGCGTACTTGAGTGGTCCTGATGTATTTCTGATTGTATAGTAGTCGAAGAGAAGTCTTTCTATCCCACATAACACACACATACATATCTGAAATGCTCTCATGTGTCGTACACTTGCATTCGATTGCAGTAACGAACCGTCATTTTTATCATCCTCAAGACAAAATTTATAGATGATGGACGTTTATATAGGTTGTCAGGTTAACACATAGTCCACATTTGTACTAAGCAGACAAGATACTCTGGCCACTCCCATATTATGTTTATTACAGCTGAGATGTATAAAACATGCATAAAATAATTGTCTTTATGTACAAACTCTCTTGGGATTCTCTTGAGGTAACTTCAAATTTGTTCACAATCCCTGCCGAGAACCACTTGCTGGTAAATGCAGGCTGATGTCCGGAGCACTCCATTGCATGCATTTCCATACTCCATCGCTAGGGCCTCCACAAATCCAGCTGTAGTGTGTGGAGAAAAAGCTTCCAATAGCACACAACTTTTGCTGCTTACGTTCTATTCCTCTCTTTTCCCTCTCGCTGCCTGAGTCTGAGTCAGTTGTGTTTGGAGCGGCAGTGAATTCAAAAGCCTGCTCGAGCAAGTCAAGTTCATCCAAAACATCAAACTGTCCTAGACCAGCAACTGCTTCAGCAATTTCACCATCCAATAATGAAGCTATGACTGCCTCTTCTTCTGATGGAAGCAACTAAAATAGAAAATAAGTAGCATTTTTAACTTTAAAACGTAACTTAATTATCATCTTTACTCACACGTGGGTCAACTCCAAATTGAACCATAACTGCACTGTCACCAGAAACAACCAGTTGAGCTGAGATTAAACGGCAAAATATTGGACTGTGCTTTATGCATAACTCTATTTTTGTCTATGATGTATGCAAATATTAGTGCTGGATGGCAGTGATGAAAATGTCACAGCACAGTATGAGCAGTGCTTGGGTTTCACTTACTAAAACCACTGAAGACACCTGGAGCAATTCGGAAATATCTGCGCAGGTCCAATGGACTTTCCACCTCCAGCACTGAGATGCTGTAAATGGTGTTTTCAGTCTGATTGGCTAGTTGTACTGTTAGTGTGTTGTTGTTGTATGTGACTCTATCCTCGGAGTCTGTTAGAACAATGTACAGTGATGTATTGTCCCTATCCAAAACACGCTGGATTCTGGGAGCCTAAACAAAAAATATCATATGATATATTATGGTAAATTCTATTTGACTTACAGGAGGTGGTAGCTCCGGAAACGGCCTTGGACCGATACCCATGGGTGATGCACATTCTTCCTGCACTTGTCTTTTTCGTTTATTATCAGGTGGAGGGATGTTATTCTGGTCAAAACCTGGTTCCACACAATTGACTAGCATCTCGAATCCGGTGAAATCTGATTCGCGATTGGATGTGAACTCAACCATGAGTTCATTCCCAAGACCCGAGCGGTCCATACAGTTCATGTTTATTTGGCTGTTCTTACTGCTGCATCTATCACACTGACCAACACCAGGGAATATCATCTTGATCCTATCTACACACACATTAGGCATTCCATTACACGTTGCTGTATCTTGCATGCTTTGTCCAGGGATTGAATAGTAGAGTCTTTTGGTTCCACTGCACCTCACATGGTACCTACATCAACGGGAGACAACGCAGTGTGTGAAGCTATTCTGCCTTCAGCCGTGATGTCATAACATACCTGCAAATATTACTGTTCCTGTAATCGCCGATTGCACCACTCCGCCGGCGATAGCGGGGACTCGAAAACTTCATGGCTGTATACATCGGGCTACTTGCATATAGTTCGATGGGGGTTTCATCAAATCTTTCAGTTGCAATACAGTTTCCATTTATGCCATTCTCGTAGCAGGTACGGTAGCAAACGTAGTGGCTACACAAAAAACAAAGCAAGCGTTGCATACCTACCAACCTGCAGATAAACCTTTGCTCGAGAAGTGCATCAAATTTGCTTGATTTGTAGTGTTTTGCTTGAAAATGCTCTGTCCATTCAAAATGTATAGGCATGATGCATCACAGCACAAAAAGTATATAGTAATTTCAGGTTGTGATTATCAAGAAAAAAGCTGGATGCTTGGTATGTATATTATATGACACGGTGTGCACCACCCCACACCACAGGCAATGCTACTGAACTGCATAACAAATCAGCTCACTGACTTTTCAGCAGGGAAAGTCACGCTGTTGAGATCGAAGCCGAACACGCTGTTCAGCGAGCACGTCTCAGTGAGGGTTCCACAGTCCCGCTGTCCGTTACGCGGGAATGCGCGTCGACACCGCCGCTGAGCATCACCACTGCGGCCCCAGGCCAGTAGAAATACGACGAAGACGACAACTTTCATTGCTCTCACAGCACCGTACCGAGTGATAGAGTTGAAACATTGCGAAACGGTTTTGTTCCGAATGGTCGTCCTATCTCCCCCTTCCACTAAGTGAAGCCACAGACCACATGACTGGCGCCACCTCATAGCATTATGTGTAATGTGTCGCTATGCGCGCAAGACCGGTGAGCGCTTAGACTCAGCTTTGCCTCAACTGGTATTACACTGAATACAGCTATATAGCACAGTTGCAATGCTATCTATTTTTTAGTAGCCATGAGCTTCCTTGGATGAGCCTTGTCTAGCATGGGATTGGATAGCGCTGCTTTCAACCTCTCCTGGTAGAGTGCCTCTTCTCTTGCAGCCATCTCCAGCTCTCTGAACATCTTAGCCGCCTCTTGTTGAACTCTCCTCTGTTGATAGGCCATCTGGTCCCTCAGACTGGCTTGGTACTGTGCGTTAGCCTGGTAGGATGAAAGGGATTTGAGCATGCACTAGATCAGTCACAGACTACGTAACAGGTCACTAGCTATGGAATTCACCCCTTACAAGTTTGAACACAGGTGCAGAGCTATCTATATACAACCATGAGGCACTGTTGAAATGCAGGGTATTTTTCCAGAAGCAGATTCTATTTCTAAACAGAGACTGTATAATATGTACAGCAATAGCAGACCTAGAAAATCAAAGATGGAGTGTACTCACAGTGCCAACCATCAGATTGTAGCTTCATCTGCAAATACTTTATCTGATTATACCCTGATTATATTGATCCTCTGAGCTACATGCAAGTTTTTATAAGCTATGTCCCGAAAGCTATCTGCAATCCATATTGCCTACATGTGCGCATGACACATGTGTTTTGCCAAACTCTTAAAGCCTGGTGCAACTGTATCTGCTTCATGAGCCCCATGTACGAGTAGAAAGTCTTGAGATTTTTGTTGCATGCAAGTTGCATGGAATAGACTTTTTCATTTGCACGAATGTGGAACATACGTGACACAACTTTCATGAGACTATATATAAGACAAAAGCTATATACGTGCAAAGTGGTGCCATGTATGTTAAGCTTTAATGTACACTTCTTTTTAAATTGCAGCAGTAAAACCCCTTGACACAAAGGGCCTGTGCCTACTTATGCCACCATAATATAGCACGTGCAAACCCTCGGCTAACTGCGCATGCGCGGTGCAGCTAATTGGTGGGCTGGCCTATTTTGTAGTACGCGTTTACTCGTGGTCTTCCGCTAGTAGTACATAGCTCGCGGAGACGGGCTAGCTACAGAAGTAGATAGCATGCGGAAGTCGATACACGCCCTTCGTTGTGACTTCACGTGCCTTCAAGATACACAGAGCTGAGCAAGCAGCGGACCCGGTCGGGGGTAAGCCTGTGCTAATTAGCATATTGGCTTGTTCACTTGCTTTTCACGCCATAACTTCAGAACGCAGTACTTTTACGAAAATCGCCATTTTAAAAATCAAGCCAGTGTAGCGCTGAACCCGTCGGTGTCGCTTTTTGGCCGGTTTGTTGCAGAAAACGTGGTAACATACACCACACTATAACCCTCTAGCGCATGTGCGCCGAGGGTTAATTAGTGTATTTCTACCTTCTTCCTGCTTTCCTGTTGCTCTTTCTCAATCTGCAAATGCTGCTTGTAGTTAGCAATAAGCGTGTCTCTCTCAACTGCAGCTGCTTTTTTCTCTTCTTCCAATACAGCCACTATTATTCAAACAGAGCCAGGAGTGGATCGCAATATGTACATTTGCCTGTTAGCAGAGCTTACATTTCTCCTTTATTTGTTGTCTGCGCGTTTTCAAAACATCATCCATGAGTTTTCTTCTCGCTTCTCTTTCTTTGCGCCACTGCTGCGTTCTTTTGGCCCACTGTTTCTCAACCTCTGCAGTGAGAAGAGAGTCAAGCTCCTGCTCACGCTGTCTCTCCTCCCTCTTTGCCTCTGCTAGATAGCTACGGTAGAGCTGTATCTCTTCCTTCAGAGTGTTCTGTATACAGAAAGGCAGTACAACATGTATGCATAGATTATGTGCTCATCCATGTGAGGTGTGTGTGTGTGCCCATCCATGTGAGGTATCAAGATGCCGTGTGTAAACCGAACCTTTTTCTGAAGGTGCAGCATGGCTTCATTGGAAGTTTCATGAAGCATCTGTTCTAACAGTTTCATGTCTAGAGCCAGCTCCTCCTGAATCTCCCTTGTCTGTTAGAAAACATCCTTCATCATTATATATACATGTTTACGGATGGATTGATGCAGTGACTATTTGAAAATTGAAAGAGTGCGGACCTTCTTTTTCATCTTCAACTTGAGAGAGTAGTCAAGGTCACACTTAGTCTCGGATTGTCTGCTGCGTTTCTCCTCCTTTTCCCTTCGTTCTTCCATAGCTCTCAATGCATTCTCTTCTCGCTAAAATTAGTGACAATGGTAAATGTCATGACTGTAGAGCTATTAAATTACCAGGAGTTGAGCTTCTTTTTCCTTGAGTTCTCTCATTTCTTCCTTCTGTTTCTCTACTGCAGCCATCTGCAATGTCAACACTTTCAACATCTCTCGGTTCCGCTCAATCTGCATAGCTGCCTCTATCTCCTCCCTCTTGCACTTTGCTGCCTGGTCCTCCTCCCACAGTCGAGCATATATTTGTTCTTCTGCAGAGTAAGTACACACATTACCTACTGCTAAGAGAATCTCTGAGGCGACTGTGTGGGCTGAGGAAATATGTACACAGAGTCTCCACTTGGACTGTTACCAGATCTATAGCTACAGAATTTGTAATTGCTTTTCAGGTTCCATTCCTGCTACATGCATCTGTCGCAGTGCAGATGTCAGAAATGACTCTGTCTATGCTCGAGCTTCTCTACCATCTACTGTTTAGCTTAATCTTTTGCACATAAATTATGTAAGTGATTTTTAAAAATCTGTAAAATTCATCTGTAAATCCCACATAAAGCCAAGATTGTGGATTTTGCCTTAGACCTGGTAAAGCTTCCACCTATTGCAATGGGATATCTTGTCAGGAAGACGGAAGTCCAAGCTATCAGTCTCTATAATTATTCTCAAATCTGATTAGGTTATTCAAGCCTACACCTACAGCCTTTTACCGACACACTGCACAATTCAATCATAATGCACATTACATGGATTGTGCCACTGGTTGCTCCCTGACCTTCCTGCTCCCTCTGCTTTGCCTCTTGTTTCATTCGAAGCTGCGCAGCTCTGTCCAGGCACACCTCATCCTGGTGTCTTTTGGTCAAAACTGCACGCAGCTCTTCACACTGACCTCTGGAAAAAAATCAAGGCCAATGTTGTTCTTGTCTACAGTATGCGTCAAAAAAGCGTTTCCAATATCGTGCGGTTTCGTTTCTGAGAATGGCAATTATCGTTCAATACGTTTGCCGTTTTTGACAGCTGTTCCGTTTCATTCCGTTTCGTTTCGTTTCGTTTCGTTCCGTTTCTTCTTTTTGCTATCACACATAGTTATGATGTAGTGCCTTGCATTGCATTTACCTCCATCTCTGTTCCAGCTTGTTTTCAACAAGAGCAATTCTCTCAGCCTCTCTCTTGTCCCTGAGCTGCTTTGCTCTCTCTCTCATTCGTGCCTGTCTCTCCAACACTGTCTCCTTCTTGCTTGCTAATTCAGTTATATACTGCTTCTCTTCCCTCTGGAGAAGATCTCTCAACCTGTATAATACCACTGTTGTATACACACCACTTGTACGGTATTTTATTCAAGCTTCAGCTTGCGTTTTGGAGTCAGCTTACTTGTCTCTCCGTTCTTGGAGGCTGTAGTCCCTGTGCTGCAGCAACTCCTTTACTCTTCTCTGTACAGTGTTTCTCTCTATCTTTTTGTCAGTGCTACGTTCCCAACTTGTCTACAAAGACACCAGTAGAATATAACCTAATCATTCACAATGCTGGAACCCTTGTCTGGTCTAACCTTGAGATCAAACTGTTTGTTGTAAGTCACCACTGCATTGGCCTCCTCTCTAAGTTCTTCTTGCTTCCTACGTTCCAAGATCAGATGCTCCTTAGGCAGAGTTGGCGGTGGACGTCCACGCTAGGGTACACAGTGATGTGAAACTACAGCTACAGAGATATGGCCATGATATTCCATCAACTCACAATCGCTACTGAGTGTGGAGTAGGGCCTGTAAGCTCTCTCGTCCTTCTGCTTCTAACTGCACCCAGCTCCATCTCCGCTCTGCATGCAGCGCTCCTGTTTGCAGTTACTATGGCAACATTGCTCTTTAACCGCAGAGCGCGCCTAACTTTAGGCGCCTGATCTCACTGGCGCGATTCCCGGGTGTGGCGCTGTAGAGCTAGAAGGCCAGGGGGAGCTAGTTGGCTAAGCATCCCTTGCGACTGTCGTCGTAGTTATCGATTATGGCAGGTAAGCCTATTTTTACTGAGCATAGCTTTAGCAGCATTTTGATCGCGCACAAACTGGTGATGCTGGCTTGTCAAAGTGGGTGTGTCTCCATTGTCGGCTGCAGATCATGCTGGTGACGAGGATCGCTCGTCAGATGGCCTTGTTTCAGGCGAAGCTGCAGCTGCAGATGTAGACCAGGAAGACCGTGATACTGACAAAGAGGAGGACGCAGTCCCGGAGAAATTGGCTGATGATGACGAGCTGAAAGAAAAGTGGTACAGGAGGGCTTTCTTTACCGTCTTTCCAAAGCTGAGAAGAGGTAGGTATCAAATGTTACAGGGACAGATTCCAGTGATTGATGATGTAGCAACACTAGTGTATACTGATCCGTGGCAACATGGAATACAGATCATATTTTGGGAGGACTTGGCTGGATTCTGTGTCAGTAAACAGTATAGGTTACAGAGAAAATACCGTAGTGTTGGAAGTGTTGTGTTTTTCGATGTATTCCAATTTCACTGTCTTTAGTTGAAGAGCGCAGGCAAGTCTATTCCAATGACCGAGCTCGAAATAAAGCCTTCAAATATGCGGTATGTTCAGTGGATGGCTTAGCTATGTATGTGTATGTGGAATAATCCTGCTGCTCTTTTTGACAGAACAACATAGTGATAACTTCCAAGTACAACATTATCACCTTTGTACCTCTCAACCTTTTTGAACAGTTTTTGCGAGTGGCAAACACGTATTTTCTGATTCTTCTTATTATTCAGGTGAGTGACTTGTGAAGTAAGTTTTTGGCTTTTTATCTAGACGGCCCAGTACTACACAGATCACTCATCATGCTCTTAAACACACACACACACCGCAATCTGTGTTTTGCATATCACGTGTCCCTAAGGCCTAAAGTTCAATTTAGTGGCACTTTCTGTGTAATTGCAGCTCATTCCTGGTGTGTCATCCGTTCCGTTCTACTCCACTTTGGTACCACTGATTGGAGTTTTAGCTGTGACTGCAGTGAAAGATGCATATGATGACGTCGTAAGCCTTAAGTCCGTTGACATTGCTCTGCTCTAGCTCATATGAACACACGCAGAAACGGCATTATAGTGACTGGAGAATCAACAACAGGGCGGCTTATCGAGTGCTTAGTAATGGTGCTCACGAGAAAATGTAAGTCTGTTTTTCCAGTTAAGGTCAAGGTATGTCACTCAGCTTCTAATAACTGAAAATGATATACATAAGCAATCACTGTTGTTTTTTGCTTAAGTACCGTAGCTCATGCACCCCTGAATTTGTTAGTTACTGTCGTAACTTTTTTACATACTAGGAAACAGCATTTGCGTTGGAAGAATGTTCAAGTTGGGGATGTGCTACGTCTCCAGAACAATGACTTCATTACGGTAATGGTATTTGGTCAAGGAGGGTCGCAGTGTGCATCCACACCTAAGCTACTTTCCATGTTCTTGAGTATAATACTACTAGCTTGTCATGTTCTTGTAAGCATACAGGAGGTACGTAGTCAAATTGGAACACATTACAACATCTGCTTGTTCTCCCTCCCACTCTCTATCTCATGTATTTCACCCGAGACGAGATCTTTAGAAGAAAGCACTCACAAATTTGCGCATTGCTGCTGCAATGCCACTTGAATGAATAATGTGTCAATTATCCTTCAGGCTGACATGATGGTACTATCGTCAAGTGAACCAAATAGTCTTGTGTACATTGAGACTGCTGAACTGGATGGTGAGACTAACCTGAAGGTTCGTCAGCCGATTCCTGAAACCTCTCACCTGCAAAGTGATGAAGAAAAACTGACTGCATTTGACGGTAGGCTTGTAGGGTATAAGCTTAACTGTCCCTACAAGGCAAGTCATATAGTTATGAGTGAATGAAACTTAGTTCTAATACATCCAAAACGTTGTCCTTGTCATGCCATACTTAGCACACCCCTTCCTAAAGGTTTTGGTGATGCTTATACCTAAATTCGTAGTTGACAGCTGGTATTATAGATGGGTGATTGTATAAATAACAGTGGGGAAAGGGAAAGAACAACTTCTCTTGAGAATCGCACTCGGGCATCATGACTGAAAACCCGGCACGCCATGCACCCCTTCCCTCCATTCGTTTAATTCCTTTGCCTGGCCAATTAATTAATCTCAGCTCATGGCTCCTCCACTACGTTAACTGTTGATTCCTAGTGGGATTCGATACCACATGAGACGGTGGCTGCAAGTGTGTGTGTTTTGCATGTAACAACAGCTAAACAGTAGTACAATCGACTCCCGACAGAAGTTGATTTATGCGTGTTTCTACTATTCCTCAGTCGTTTACCTGGATTGAATTCACCATTCGCCACTATTTTTGGTGTACAGGTCTAATTGAGTGTGAACCTCCAAACAATAGACTTCATAAGTTTGTTGGAACTCTGCACTGGAATGATAAGGACTATGCTTTGGATAATGACAAGATAATTCTGAGGGGTTGTCGTCTGCGCAACACCAAGTGGATGTATGGAGTTGTCGTCTACGCAGGGCATGACACCAAACTTGTTCAAAACAGTGGTATGTGTACACAGACGCGTGTGTTCTCTAAGTAATGCCAATTATGGGTCTGTCTATTGTTCAATACTTTTTTGTACAGTTCTAAACAAGTGCATTTTGCCGCACCTGCACAGCAATTGTAGTTGGTGCATGTGTGTCTCTGTCTGTTACTATGCACAACAAGCCGGCCAAAACTAGTCCTACACTCCTGTGAATTATTGTGTTCTATGTACTCTGACATAATTATGTGTACACACACACACACTTATGCAGAGGGTTTAGCGGGATAAAAGTTTCTCTTTCCTTGTTGTAATGCTCTTTTGAACTATATATCACAGGAAGTACAAAATTTAAGAGGACTCACCTTGATCGTACAATGAACACCCTGGTGTTTTTTGTAAGTCACATTACCACGAAGCTGTATATACTGTTATCATCTGAAAAATGATGAAACTGTAGATCCTGGCTACACTTGGAACTCTACTGACGATTTGCTGGATAGGATCAATTGTTTTCGAGTCTGTGTATGGAGTTGTAAGTATTTGTATGTAAGGACAGACTTGTCAGAGTGGAATCTGACGGCACATGAGACGGTTGCTGCCAGTGTGACGTAGCCAGATAGGCAACGACCGCTGGCAGTAGTACTTAGAGAGATTGGGGAAGACCAGCTTTGTCTGGGAGTTGTGGCTCAGTGCCTAGTGCACTGTATGTGTACGTACTTCCAGTCACGACACCTGAGTCCGACTCGGGCAAAAGTTGGTTCTTTCTCTTCACTCCTGACCTTTCTTCTGTCTTCCATGTAACCTGAATATTTAGTGGCATGTTATAGGGGGAAAGTGTAGGTTGTCTAGTGAGGTCCTTCGTGCCAGTGTGTGAGAGGTATAGTCAATCCAATGGTGAACTACATATTATTTTTTGCTGGTCATCAATCGTTGATTAGTCCTCAATAACTGCAATCCGGGCCACTCATCAGTATCATTTGTGTTGCCGTACTTTTAGTAAAGTTCATGCGAGCTAAACTGTCATTTTCTCTTCACTGTTCTAGGATTTTACTGTCTATGTTCCATACTACAACTCACTTCAAGATACTCCTGCAGAGGTATCATTCCTCCAGATACTCTCAAACACAGTTGTCCTCAATACACTTGTCCCCATTTCTCTCTACGTCAGGTGAGGTTTATTACCAAGTGATGAGGTATAGTACAAGTATTTACTGTCGTTATTTAGTGTGGAAATTATACGGTTGGGCCTTTCCCTGCTGATCAACTGGGATGAAAAGATGTATTATGAAGTAAACGGCATTCCTGCCCAAGCTCGAACCACAACTCTCAATGAGGAACTGGGACAAATCGAGTATATTTTCTCAGATAAGGTTTGTTGTGCATATCTTAAACTGTATGTGTGCATGATCAATGGGTACCCACATAAATTTTAGCACCAGCACTGGATTGCCATCAGGTAATCTCCCAAAAGTGTCAGTTTCCAGATATGCTGCACATCCACAAAGTGCTATATGTTTCAATAGTGCTAGGAGCATCTTAGGAAAGTGTGGCTCAACAAAGCACTTGTAATTGTTCTGTGTTGCTGTTTGGCTGGTTGCTGCCCATCTTTGGAAAGGAGGCAGTACATAGTAGTTGGACACAATTCGTGCATCATACATACACTGTAGTACAATTGCAGCATCCTTGTACACTGTGCTATCAATTATCAAAAGTGCCAAAACTTCCCAGCCCGGGTCAAACGTCTTTGTACATCAAATAATCCTATTTCTTGTGACAGACGGGTACCCTGACTCAGAACATCATGTCGTTTCTCAAGTGTACTATTCATGGCGTTAAACATGGTGAAACTACTATGGAGGAACCGCCAATGGAACAGGAGGTGACAACTGGGAAGATCAGTCGAGGCCCTAGTCCTGCACCTGACACTGAGGCTGCTATGCTCGGTCCTGAAGAGAAAAAGGTGAGGGAATTTTTTTTAGAACCCTTTGGTGTAAGTACATATACATACAAAGGTGTTATAGAGAGTCCATGTGTCTATCTTTATTCCAAACTTGTGCAGGAGTTCATTAAAGAACTATTCAAATGGAACCCACATGCAGACCTGACTGACTTCAACTTTGTTGATGACAAGTTTGTGGAGATGTGCAGAAACAGGGATCCAGTGAGTAGTTATAGTCAGTTCATCAGTTCTGTGTCGATGTATATAGTCCCAGTGCACTAGGCAGGTGATTGAAAAAGGGGTGTGGTACTATGCTCCATCCATACTGTAACTGCTCTTTGTCATTAAAAGGCATACCAATGCAGCAGTGAAAATTCTTATGATGTAACTTCTTGGCCAGTCGGAATTTGGATTTGTTTTTGACTATTTGAAGGAATCATCGCTGCATATGTATGTAGGCATATTTTGTCAAATGGCAAAACTATTAAAACACTGATTTTTAACACTCTACTAAGAAGTTATGGTACGAGTGGTGTCATGAGGTACTATTTCATGCAGGATGTTGAAGATTTCTTCCGTGTACTCTCTTTGTGCCATACAGTGCTACCACAGGAAGAAAATGGTATATACCACACTGATTTTACAACGTGTGTGATGTTCTTCAATGCTGGATACAGGTGTTCTGGTGTACAATGCGCAGTCACCAGATGAAGCTGCCCTCGTGTCTGCTGCTAGGAACTTTGGATATGTCTTTGTGGTATGTGTACATAAGGTTTTCCTATTCTCTTGCTCTAGTAGTATCTATGTAGGCAAGGAGTCCATTCGCCATAACTTTGAAACGACTATGCAAAGGCTCAACAGATGAATGGATAGATGTAAGAAAACATAATGCTGTACTCCATGTAATCTCATAGTAAACTATGGTTGATTTCAGGAGGAATTTGAGGTTCTCAATATACTGGATTTCAATAATGAGAGGAAGAGGATGTCGGTATGCTATGCTATAGTTTGTGCCAATAAAAACAACAGACAAACTGATTACTTGACCCCTGCATATTGTACGTTGAGGGTACTTATAATTGGCGAGCTAAGTGATAGATATTCTCTCCTACCGGCACTCTCACATATACCATTATTACTCATGACAGAACTTTACATTTGTGTATGTCGAATCTGTGTGACTCACGTTCGCTAACCTAAAATGCGTTGCACCCATTCTAGACCTACATAAGCTGTCACTAAATGTGATGCACATCTGTTACTATATGTACAGGTGATAGTGAAACACGAGGACAAGATTACCCTCTACTGCAAAGGAGCTGGTGAGTAATATCTGTTTATTATACTGATTTATTTTTTATATTTTTGTAGATTCCATTGTGTTTGCAAGACTAGATGAGACATCAAAAGATGCTATGCAAACTACACTTAAGCATTTGAGTGTAAGTCCACAGGGACAGTTGCAATGAATATTAATGGCAGAGTTTACGTGCAGCACTATGCTAGAGAGGGTTTAAGAACATTGGTGGTAGCGCAGAAACATTTGACTCGTGAAGAGTACAGCCAGTGGGCTACTCAACATCATGCAGCAAGGTAATCAGCTAGAGTAGCAGCGGGTTTTACTTTGTTCAATGATTAACCCTGTCCTTGAGATGGAATTTTCTGATCAGCCTCACTCAGTGAAATGGGCACATACTCATTTTCACTGCACTAAGAGTGTCATTTAGCACCCCTGTGACTGTCCTGGTCCATTAGCTCAGTCGGTAGAGCGTCGTGCTGATAACGCGAAGGTCGTGAGTTCGAGACTCACATGGACCATTTTTTTTCTCCTGTATCTTTTGGTTTATTATTCCTTTTTTCATTCCTTTCTACAACTTTTAGCATTGTTCAAGTAAACAGGGATGAAGAACTGGACAAGGTATTTAACACCTGTTTTTTATGCCTGCACAGCACATCATTAGTACATGGGTTGGCCAAGTAGTTTTTACCTAAATGCAGGTTTATAATGAAATTGAACAAAACATGACACTTGTTGGAGCTACAGCCATTGAAGACAAATTGCAAGATGGTGTGCCAGAGGCTATTGCTAACCTGGCAAAGGTATATACATTCAATATTGCAGTCATGGTTAGAAACACCTTTTGCACTGCATATACAATGTGCTAAACATGCATGCTCCGCATCTCCCTTTTTTTCTCTTGGCATCACATGGTCTATTGTTACATGCTATGAACTATAATTTCATGTATGTATGAATGAAGTGAAGGTCCAGTAAATGCCTTGTTACTTTATATAAGACTAAGTTTTGAGTCACAAAAATTTTTGTTGGTTACCCAATGCATAGTATGCCATAAGAAAAACAGGTTATGAACATGGGTTACGAAAATGCTGACCAGCAGATTTCGTTACTCAAAACTTAGTCTTACATGAAGAACTGACCAGCAAATGGGTCCCATTTTATATACTACTACGTATGTGCCAGACTGAGCCAACTGTAGGTGTTCCAAATCTAAAACCCAACAGCACAGTGAAACTTAATTAATTGATACTAGATGAATGCTAAGCATTGTTGGCGAGCATAAACTACACAACTGCATTTATACAGCTGTTGGTGATCATGCACAGGGGGCATTATAGCTTGGTGCCTCTGTTGCGTGTGATGTTGTTTTGGCTGCACGCCGAGCCTGCACAGTTGCAAGAAAGGCGTGTTTTCTGTTTCGTGCTAGTCACCGATCCCTTGCGGCGAGAAAGGCGTGTTTCCCACTCCTCGGCTGATTCTGAAGCGAAACGTTGCCTCATGCGAACTTTACCGTAATATACATTGGTAGTTATGTAACTACCACCCATGTGTAAAATTGGAACTCACTTGCTGGCTGGCTGTTTATCATTTAATCACGTACAGCATTACAGTTTGTGTGGCATCGCCGGATAGAATAAACGGAAAATCGGCCCATTCACACAACTACGTTGGCTCGCTCCCGCTTGCCAATTATACCATGCGAGGGCATGACACTTTAAGTCTGATCAAGCATGACTACTAGCATTACAGCTTCTTGAGAGAATTGAAAGCAGGAGGTAATTTAATTAATTCTCCTGTTTCACTTGCTCAGAGTTTTGACAACACTGTATCCATGTCTCAACAACTTGGTAGCGAGGTAGAAAGGCAAGGCAAGGCAAACAAGTCAACTACACCCAGGAGGGCTCTTTCATTCAGAAAAGAAGTAGAGAAGAAGAGCTGCTGCCCTGGGTGGGATTCGAACCCACGACGCTCTCCTGTCTAGGCAAGCGCTCTACCAACTTAGCTACCAGGGCAACTCAGCTGGTAGAGGTTCGAATGTACAACACAACACAACACAAGGCAAACCTCAAACTATACTCTCAGTCAGTAATATAGGAGCAGACCGGGGTAATTAAACCACCAAAGATGCCCAACTCCAAACCGAGTATATGCATGTCTCAACAACTTGGTAAAGAGGTAGAAAGGCAAGGCAAGGCAAACAAGTCCATGCACATCACAGCTTCAGACATGTGTGTGACTCAACACTGACTGTGAAGGTGTGAGCAGTTGACTGCCCGCCTGACAAGATAACAATTCACCCTTGCTATTATTGGCTACAGTAGGAATAATGTGCATGTTGCTGCTGTTAAGCTTTGTAACATTTTGTCTTAGGTCTCACAATAGACTAAGCATGCCTTCCTAATTTTCATTCCATACAGGCTAATATCAAGATCTGGGTACTGACTGGAGATAAACAAGGTAGACAAATTTAAATGTTGGGTATAGCTGCAAACTTGCTTATTTTATACGCAGAAACCGCCATCAATATTGGCTATTCATCGAAACTTTTAGTGGAGGATATGAGGGTTTTCATTATTAATGCTGAGGATAAAGGGGCAGTGAAGAAACAGCTTACTGATGCTAAGTATGTGAACATCTTACAAGATCTGAGCAGCATCGTTTTATCCTTGTGTCATGCCATAATGTGTATTAAAATTTAGGGATGAAATTGTGAATTGTGAGGAAGGAAAAGCGGTTGAGGAGCAGTGGACAGATACTGAACTAAGGCTGGGACCACCTGGGCCTCCATTTGGCATCGTCATCAATGGATCTAGTCTTGTAAGTAAAGAGTTATCTGAAATCATACACACTATTTTTGCTTTGTATACTTGTGGCAGCGTCATGCTCTAAAAATGGAAGACATTTTACTGGAAACTGCTAGCCGCTGTCAGGCTGTCATCTGTTGTAGGGTGACACCACTGCAGAAGGTAAAGGTAGCCTTTACTCTTTGCAGTACTTGTTCAGTTTCTTTTTCAGAAAAAAGTGGTGGATTTAGTCAAGAAGAGAAAGAAAGCTGTGACTCTGGCTATAGGGGATGGAGCAAACGATGTTGGCATGATCAAAGGTAAACTCTTACTCAAATGGTGTGGCAATTATAGAACGTTATTAGCATCAGCCCTCTCCCAACATAGCAAGAGTGAGTGAGGTTGATACTACACATGTGAGATTGCTTCCGCTCTGAGACTTTCATAAAACACCTTGCTGCCAATTAGGGAGGTGGATTCATTATGTAGGCTGATAGTAATGTTTGGAAGAATGAGTGGTTTTATTTGCCAGACAAGCGTTGAGTTTGAGTTCTACTTCAGAGAATGCTGACACTGACACATAATGTAGTATTTTTCTGGCAATCTTCACCGATTGCCAACAAACAGTTCAAGGTTTACTACAATAGCGTTTGAGCATGCACGATATTATTTTAATGCTTACACCCATATGACAGCGGCTCACATTGGAGTTGGTATCAGTGGACTGGAAGGCCAACAAGCTGTTCTCTCCAGTGACTACTCATTTGGCCAATTTAGGTATGTAAAATACCACTCTAGATGTGAGGCATACACACACCTACTCCATCACATATATTTTTGGATTTTGTTCCCCAGGTACTTGGAGCGTCTATTGCTTGTTCATGGACACTGGTCTTACCATCGCATGGTCACTTTCCTGCGCTACTTTTTCTACAAAAACTTTGCATTCACCTTCTCCCAGTTCTTCTTTGCCTGGTTTTGTGGGTTCACTGCACAGGTTTGCTACATACCTTAATCCACCAATGAGTGTTACGTGTTTTCGTTCTGTTATTCTTCACAGACACTGTATGACCCGACATATATTGCCATATACAATGTTGTCTATACCGCTCTACCCATCCTCTCCCTGTCCATCCTAGATCAGGTTAGATATTAAATAGCAGTACTACAAAATGGTAAAATACAATCACCTACTTCATCATCATTCAGGATGTAGATGAAGACAACTGCTACCGTTTTCCAGAGCTCTACATCGCTGGCCAGCAAAACAAGCGTTTCAACATATGGATCTTTCTCCGTAGTCTAATGAAGGGTGTATATGTGGCGGTTGTGTTCTTTTTCATCCTCATGGGAATGACACTGACCAACTTCTTTCCCGAGGGCTATGAGTGGGACTACCAATCATTTGGACTGGCTGCATCTGGGGCACTAACAATCACTGTCAATCTTCAGGTATATACTAAAGTACTTGTACCATAATGCAGGGTATATTTATAGTGATGAAGAAAAGGTTTTTGAACAGTATTTTGCATGTCTACATGATATTATGTACTTGGAAAGGGTGTGTCTTTCACTCGCCAATTACTGATTGGCAATGGCTATTTTGATTATGTAATCTCCCCTACAGATTGCCCTGGATACATTCTACTGGAACCCCATCCAACACGTGTTTGTGTGGGGTAGCATACTGGCCTGGTTTCTGGTCCTTCCTATCACCAGTTCCCCAGCGTTGTATGTTGCTGGAATCGGTGTCTTTAGGTTTGACTTTCTAGGCGTATTCTACGAGGTGCTTCAAACAGCCACATTCTGGTTTTACTGGCCACTGGCAACCATTATCGCTCTTGGTCCTACTATCACATTCCGAACACTGCTGGTCGACCTACGGCCCACCTTGGTAGATGACGTACGTCTCAAGATGAAGAAAGAAGGTCGAAGAGTGTTCCGCAGAGCACTTCTGAAATCCAAACTCCCACGCATAAGTTTCAGTTTGGCTGGCGTGAAGGAACGAACTGGTTATGCCTTTTCTCACCAACGTGGATTTGGAAAACTGATACTGTCTGGGAGGATGTTTGCTGGGGCATCAGAAGAGCAAGTACGCCGGGAGAGAGAGCGACGAGTGTCGACTATTGTTCATTTTCCAGAACACGAAACTGTAGATGCAGATCCTAGTGTTGTTCATCTCACGGTCCATGTGCAGCCAGCCAATACCATACGTGAAGTTGAAGAGTCTACAGCTGATCCCCAGTCTATGCCAGCCTCCAAGTCTACCACTACTCCAACAGTGTTGGATTCTCAACTGCAGGAACCGGAAATCCACTCCGACAACAATGAACAGAGGTCAAAAGAACTTCTTCAAACCGTTTCAGCAACTGCGTGAGTGTGGTAACTTGGAATGGCGAGCGAACTAAGTTAGATTTTTCGCTCGTTTCACGCGTATTTAGAATTATTACGGTATGTGCAGTGCCCGTCACACTGAACCATCACATAATACAAACAATTCCTGCATTAAAACTAAGAAGGCTCGCTTTGCTTGCCATTTATATATATACCCCATGGGCAGTACATCTCACCTGCAGCATGCAAGCATATAATTCTACACGCATATAAACACTGAGTTAATCATTTTTTATTTTCCTATTATTGTAGTGATGCTGACAATGATGAACGGGTAGAGTCGACAATGTAGAGATAGGTTTTAATTGTAGATAGTAGAAACTTATTAGGCATGTGTACAATGAACTCTATTAGTTAAAATTACTTTATACTAATTAATGTTGGGTCTGAATTTTTATTTGTGTGATGAAATGATATTTAAATGCATTATTTTGATGTAGAACCAATTTTTGCATCAATTTGTGGTATTGCCTCTTTTAGTCTACCCCACTGTTCCACAGTCAGTGATATACCTGTAGAACAGTGATACATAATTACGACTGTAAACAATGCACTAATCCTTGGTGCTCTCGTGTGCATGGAATTAGACCAGTTCTGTTTCCAGGAAATCATACATGTAACAATCCTTTTCTAGGGATGCAGAGGGATATGTTATTTTAGTATAATTATGTGATATCACTCGTGCGCTACCCCATCCACATTAGTCCAGACTGAAATGTAACACATGCAGTGATGTGCTTTAGTAGTCTGACAAAAAGTGGTCATGTGGTGTCATTTGCTTGCCCATAGCACATGTTTGACAGAGTTTTGCAAAACGACCAATGAATACCTCACCAGTTACTTAGACAAATTTTCCTCTTGGATGGTGGATTTTGTAGTAATGTAAGTGTTGACATGGATTGGTTAGATTATGTGGGGAGGTCTTCCCCCATCAGATTCAGGTGCGGACTAGCCTTGTTCCCAGGCCTCCAAAAGAAGAGGGGACGCCTGGTACAGACCGCAATGCAGAAGCCCATAAGGACCATCCATTGCCTTTAAAGATTTTGAAATTTCACTAAAATTGTAGTTCCATTCTACAAAACACTACTCCATTACTATTCTTCTCTGACTTCTTACATTATGCAACCAATTTAGCGCATGCGCCACAACAATGGTGCTGTGCAAAACGTGTTGAGCCAACAGCTTGATGCAGTCGTCTTACTAGTAACGCATGCGCATAATGGGTGCGGTTGTGGAGTAGGCTTGGATGGATGTAGATTGGAAGCGGTATTAGAATTGAAAATTAGAATGGGAATCAGTGTTTGTGGAATGGAAATTTCTTGAAATCTACTACAATTGCAATTTCCATAATGCAATGTACATGAACAAAATATATACACCATGTGATGCACACCATTCCCCATAATTTGGGTAACCTCAGTAAATTTTCTCCAATGCTTCCACGTGCTTGCCACGCTACTGCTTCGCGTGTCAACCTCGCTACTGGCATCCAAAGCAAAATGACAATTGTTCGTGGAAGCAGGGTTACTTCGCACGTAAAAAAGCGCGTAGACTGTGTGTACCACAAACTGGTGAAGGTTTTAAGTCATGCGGTAATATATGCGCATAAATATTCCACACATGCAGTAAGTATATACCAGGCCTCCTCCTTTCTTCGGAGGCCCGGGGACGAGGCTAGGTGTGGACAGATTCCGACAATTTTTAATGGGTCAACCTCTCACCAAGAAAACCCACTACTGTGTTATGGTATTTAAGTACTTGTCACCTTTCTTGCCTGGTTTTCTGACACCATCATCATACCAATACTCTCTGATGTCCACCAGAAAACGTCCATTGTAGACTCTCACATTAACAAAGCGTTTGTTAGAAATCTGAGGTGAAAATAATTAGGTCATTATAATATTATGTGTAAAGCTGTCCTCTAGATTGGCACCTCAATCATGTCATCATCAGAATCAGCACTAGCTACGGCTGCCTCTGCTTTCTTCACTTTTTTCGTCTTTGCCTGCAAAATCAAAATACAATCTGATTGTTATAATGTATATGCCTATCCTACCCAGTCCAAGGTTAAGCAACACATTATCACTGGTTGTTGTGTGCACATTCACCGTTATGATAACCCAGCATAATTTATATATACGAACAGTAAAGAGTAGTTTTGGTGCTCAAATAATGACAGCAAAATTTCTTTCTTCAACATCCCAAAAATCAATACTGGCATGCCACTTATCCTCCGAAATGAGTGAACACCGCATTATTCGAAACGGATATCTTCTGGTGGTGTGTTTCGAGCACAAACCAACCACAAAAGAATTTACTCTATACATGTAAACAACTTGGTCTTTGGCTCTGGGGTGAGTATAATATCTGAGAGCCGTGAGCGGTACAATCTCCACACCCTGGGATAATGCACCGGCAGGTCATTCACATGCGCAGCAGTGTTGGCTCGGATTGGGGTCAAAGGTCCAGCAGCAGGCAGGGGGGTCAGGAGGGAGACTCGCGTAGAGCTAGAGGCCGAGGACTACTATTACCATCAGGTCTGTAGTCTGCATTCAGTGCATCATAACTTGCAAAGGGCGACAGGCTCTGGGCCTTGGGTCTGGGAGGTCGCTTAGACGTCTAGTGCACTTTACGTAGGCTCGCTGCAGACTCTCAATGACCAGCAGGATTGAGTACGTATTTTTGGACCGTGTGAATTCGTTAAACTTACGCCTGTGTCATCTGGGTCGTCAGAGTCGTCAATAAACTCTTGAGAAACAGGTTTTCTCGTCCTCTTCGACATATTTTTGGCCGGAGAACGCACGTAATTTTATACGCATGCGCACATTAGATGCGCGTACCCCTGGTCTACTACAATACTCATTGTCTGAGTGCTGCGTGTCCCCCGTGCGTGGCTCCCTGAGCTGAGAAGATGCTGCAGGTTTGCGAAAGTGCTATATACAGGCGAAAAGATTGCATGCACCTAACATTACGACTTTTTGCATTTTGATTTTTTTGCAGGTAGTTTTTATGTTGGAGCTCGTTTTGGGTGCAGTACACCTTGTCGCAGTTGCAGAGGCATCTATTGCAATACCAAATGCAGACTGCAGAGGAGGACTGGTGGATGTGCATGCCGCTGAGGTGCAGCTACCCACATTGTACGTTTTATATACTCATTGCAAGCTGAGGTAATTGCCATTACCTCTATGTTAGGGGACCATTGGAGTCACCAACATCATCTCTAATAGACAGTGTGTGTATCTTGCCTGTTTGGGAAACTGGTCAACTGACTTTGCACTGCCAATATCCCATTGAAGAAGCTACACTTGTGTGGTGGATAGAGGTAAGTATGAACTGTTGTGTTTCCATCTCATATCGTCTCTCCCATATAGGATGGTGTACCGGTGAATGTTAACTCTGATGTGCTTCCAGTTAATGAAAGTGCAGTCCACCGTGGTATTTACCAGTGTATGCTGCAACTTGGATCAGGGATATTGAGCTCTTCTCCACTGAAACTAGAGCTTAGAAAAGGTACCATTACCCGTGGCTGCACTGGATAAGGAAATAGATGGTCAAGTATATCCAGGTCTAAATATTTATGGATAATACTGACTCTGACTGAAACCATTATATGCTTGGGACTTGATACAGTGTATGCTACAGAGTATTATCTGACCTGATCAACAAGCTGTAGTTGTGGTTGTGTGTGTTTACATAGCTGGAGGTTGTTGTACAGCCAGTGCGTGATCTCGGTATTGTTACACTCTAGTCTCAGTCCACGGGCCCTGTCCACTCGAGAAGGGATGGAGTCTGGTATCCGCAAGTGTGCAAACTCTCTCTGTGCAGAGAGATGGTAAAAAAATATCGCTGAGCGACAAGCAAACACATTTGCCGCCAAATGAGGACCAGTATCATCACCAACATATGTGAGAGCATCCAGCCTCATAGCTTGATCACTCAAAGTGCTATGAGTGGGGTTTCAACATTGTAACCTCACAATGATTTATGATATGCCAACCACAAGGCAGCCAAACTCGTTGGGCTTTCAAATTCTTCTTATACAACATGTTGGTGGGAGTTCCAGCCCATGGAAGGGGCCAACTAAATAGACGGAAAGGCAATCGACAGAGAATATGCATATAATAGAGAACAGACCCACCAACTAAATGACACGATAATCATCTTGTGCAATATTGAAACATCAACTGCTTAGGGAAAAAGAATTCTGCAAAAGGATCATGCATTCATGGACACGTGGTCATGCTTCACCAGAAAAGTCCATGTTTGTTGCTCTAATTCTAGCTGCATCAGTTGGTAGTTTTTCGGCCATGCACACTGATGACTCAGTCAGTAACTGAAAATCTGGTTGTGGTATGCTTTTGCTCATATACATACAGCTTGAGTTTGAGAACCCATGCATGTATTACGCACTATTGACCTAACACTCAACTGCATGTATGTTACCTATGTCAAATTCAACCTTGAGCAAATTAGAAGGGAGATCACCTTCAAAATGATATGTGCGAATGAGTGTGAGGCATGTTTACCCATCTGTTTTATATCTATATAGTAGCTGTAGTTGGTGGTGTTGCACTTTACATTTTGCTTATATTGGTTGCACACTAAGACAATGTTGTAGCAATGTTTATTCCAGGTACACAGAGTTTTTGCAGTGGGGAAGATTGTCAACCTGTAGCCCAAAGTTTTCTGATGTCAGACATAAGAAATTGGGGTAAGGTGTTACATAACGTAGTTATTATACTGTGCGTAACTTGATATCCTTTCTACAGACTACTCCCCGGCCACATGCAGTCCTGAGGAATCATTTCAAGTGAGTGTTTCCGCTATTGCAAATGCACTACCATTTATTACCCCCTAGAGTGTTTCACTCTTAACTTTGGACCCAGGCCTTCCCCACCTGGTTTTTTGGCGAGCGAAGCAAGCCCACCTGGTTATCTGAATGTACATTTTTCCAATACAATCCCTCTGTAATGGTGAACAGATTCACATACCGTAATGCTACATGATTACATACACATGAAAACATGCACGTAATTGCCGAGCGCATTAGCGCGAGGCAACTACTCCGGATTGTATTCTCGCGATATGCGTACGTACGTGGCGGTCACGCTTAAGAATGTGAATTAGTCACGCTTAGGGAATGCCAATTAGTCACGCTTAGGAATGTCAACTTCCGTCATTCGTAAACAAGTCTAGTGCGCGCATATTCGTAGGAAGTCTTGCTTCGCGCACAGTCAGGAGAGCGCGCGCACGAGCAGCCTCAGTCGGACTGTTTACGCATTGGCTGGCAGGCGCGAGGCAAATATGCACGTGCGCATTCCTAGTATTTATATGCTCGCTTCTCTCGCGAAAAGATTAGTTGCATTTTCTTCTAGTATAATGATGCACAATGGGGAAGATCTGCGTTGTCAGTGGACATATGTAATGGGACTACTGTTCGCCTGTGTCCAAAAATGAAAAGCACTGAAGTGCAAACCCTCGGCTCAAAATGCGCACATTTGTTGTTTTGTAAGCTAGGTGGGCTGGGCCGTGCGTCGTCCGAAGGAGCCAGTTGTCGCCTAACACAGGCTAGGCTACATCTCAGTGGGTAGTGGGTCTTGTCTATTTATTGCTCGTGATATTGTCTCTCAATGCAGTCATTTCAGCCTTTATATTGTTCTTGCTGAATACTCAGCACTTTTATGACATTAAGCTGTAGACAAAATTTGAGCAACCAGACGAAACTTGATAGGCATTATTTAGGAATGTAGGGCTCACAGGTTCACAAACTTGTCACCCCTGTAGTATGGATAGTATTACACGCTCCCAAATTTGTGAACCTTGAATTCTATTAAAACTTGGTTAAATTCTGTGTTTTCTAAAAATGTTGCTTGGGATATAGTGCCAGACTGCGCTTTACGCTTAGATGGGAAGGCATGGCCGCATCCACAAACTGCTCGTCTAACGTCAACTGCTATGCTACATTGCGGACATACCTTGCTCAGTTTGTTGTCCATGGAGAACAGAGATCAACACTGACCGAGGAGAGAAACTCAAGAACCGCTTGCTCGTCCAAGGTCAACTCGCAGATGCGCATGCTCCGGCAAACGATAATAATAGCTACGGCAAACTCCCACATACACGCGTGCACGATGGATCACTCACGTACGCTTTTTCGCTTGTTTTCACGTCATATCTCTGGAACGCAGTCGTTTCAGGAAAATCGCCACGTTAATATCCATCTCCTCGTTGTTCACAACCCGTTGGTGCCACTCATTTCCCGCCTCGTAGCCTGTAGTGCTGGAACTCGCGCGGACAGACAGACAGACAGACAGAACGACTACTGTAACCCTCGCTGCGCATGCGCGCCGAGAGTTAATTAGTATAGACATTCTTTCTGTCACTTTTGATGATCACACTGGCGAGTAGGGTTTAGGAGAAAATTACTGTAGTAATAGTGTGACACAATTGAATGAGCTAGCTGGTAGAACTAAAAAGTAATGTACTTGGCTCATCATTTTTTTTCCAGGACTCAGTTTCTCTTCATACAAGAAGCTCGTGTGAAACTCATAGCCTATACGTTATGGTCTATAACGACAACAACATATCATGGGGCAACAAATGTTCCATGTTCCACCATTCTTGGAATGGTTTGGAGCCCTCTTCGCTCTATACCATCCACATTGAATTTGAACTCAATCAACTGAACTCAACTGTACGTTACTTCAAATCATGTACAATACTCATTGACTAGTGCTTTTGTCTTACAATGGTTTAGATGGCCTTGTACATTCAACTAGACATCAATGGTGAAGAAGTTGCAACCATCAAAGTATGTATGTGCACATGTTGTTAGGTGCAGTGTGTTATGAGACATGTCTTGGGTCTTCTATAGTTACAACCACAGACTTCAAGAGAAGTATCTGTGTGGGCAGCTCCTAACTCAAATGGGTCAATTAACCTGCACATTGAGACAGTGAGTGTGTAGAAATTGTGTGTGAATGGTTGGTTTTAGCTTTCTATTGCTCTTAGCTGGTTCCATCAGATCTGATTACTGAAGAATTCGTCCTTAGAGTGAACAAAGCTCATTTGTGCCGATCTATTTCTACAGGTATATGCATAAGCATAAAATTTTTTGTAATTATTTCCAAGGGAAGGTTTTGACCTGCTGGTTTACCGCATATTGCTTTTTAGCTGGTATATATGCTAGTTCTTTGTTGATTATGAAGGGGCCCTTGCTAAAACCCAGACCGGACCAGACTGGACTGAAAAGATATGTGTCAAGGTGGTCTGGTGCTAGCACAGGGTTGAGGCACGGCACAAGTTTCCTTGGCGGCGGTGCCCTCCAAATGGTGGTTTCTAAAGATCTCAGCAGGCTTTTTATAAGCTCACGGGGCGTGGCTACGAATCATGCATGATGCGAGTCTATACTCACATGCAGTTTATAGTGGGTGGCCAGATTCTTGCATGTCAGACGGTTCTTATAGAAAGCTAGCTAGTTTTTACGAACATTCAGTCTGGGTTTAAGTGGGGGCCAATTTTAGCTTGTGCATAGCCACGTATAACAAAATTCACATGTGCATGAACTGACGAGGGCATTACACACTATTTCCTTGCTTCACTATTATTATAGAATTAAGACTTACGTATGTCAGTTAAATTTTCTGCGGATTTTTACTCCTGACTGAATGTTGTTTATGTAGTTTCTTAGCAGTTTATACTAACAGCTCTTTTCTGTTGATTTTTAGATGTCAAAGTTGGGGCGAGATGTACGAGTGACCTAATGGATCACATAATTCAGAAAAACAGCACTGATGTGATGCTTGGCGGCTTTGAACCAAATCAGAGCTACCTCGTAACTGGCCTAGACAACTGGGTAGTGGGCAAAAGGCATGTATATTATGGATTCTATCCAATAAAGGAGGTGAATAATCTCTACAGTCACACTCATTGCCTTGACATTTTTGTGTCTACCTTACTGCAAAGCCGGCTGTAGTGTAGGGATAAAGTGCTAAGTATACAGCTATCACATAGCAGTATTGTGCTGTTAAGAGCTCATTTCCATGACCTATGGGTTGCTCTTATAGTGTTGGCTTATAGCAAGAGGAAGTGGGTTTGAATCCACAAGTAAAGGCTTTTTCTTCATCTGTCTTCTAACTCGTCATATTTCCACCATATTATGAGATATATATATATATATATATATAATATATGACTGTCAATGTAACAAAGTCTAATAAATCTATGCTTCCACCTTGTATTACGTGGATTGGGAGTTAGAAGTGTAAAGAAAGCTATCCATAAAACCCGAATGTATGCACCATTTCCGCACTAGCGTCTATCAAAGGTGTCTTACACTAACACATGTGGTGTCTTATACTAACACACTCAGGATGAAAGCAATCTTGATCCTTTTGGGGTAACTGCCAGCCTGGATGGAGCAATAAGCTTCCACAAATCTACTAGAAAGGTTAGTTTTTAATCTCTTTTGTTATCCAAAAATTAGGATCTTTTTTATTCCAGGCATGGAAAAAGATTTTGAGAGGTTTTCAGCTATGTCCTGGCTTTATTCTGCAACGATTCAAGTCTGCGGCTGTTGATTCATCATTTGTTCTCGCTCAGTTTGACAATATCAGTGTCCTTGGCAGTGAAATGAAGATCTACAGTGGAGTCTCGGACATGGGGTTTTCCTTGAAGGTTTGTATATATGTAGGTTAGGCGATGGGTTCAAGGGTGAACACGTGAAATCAGAAATCCGAGGGGCTGGACTCAGACTGTAGTGCCCCGAATGCAATGAGTGTGCTACACAACCCGAAAATTTCTGATTTCACATTTTCACCGAGGAATCCAGCATGTATCAATTACCGTGTCTTTCTGTCACTAATAAGTCATATATAACCAGGCGCCTTTCTTCTACTGCCACACACCTTCTCTTAGTCTGTTAAGCAAAGCCAATCCAAAAGAAAAAAACATGATCATACAGATCGTACAGTGTGTAGTCACTATAGATAGAACATGTTCAGACGCTACGAGCTTGTATAAATTCGGTAGCAAATGGATGATTTTTCAAACTGAAACAGACGACCTTCTCGCAGAAGAGAACAAAGACAACTCCTGGAATGAAAAGACGACGAACTCGATGAACTCTTCTCTCCACCACCCACACAGCCACGCTCCAGTTAATGGACACGATATCAAAGAACACCAACAAGGTTCAATTCCTTCATCTCCTGTTAAGGATACAAAATATTGTATAAACCTCTGGAAAAGGTGGAGAAATATCGGCAGGAAAATACTTTGTGCACAATTCCAGAACTACATATGTGACCCTACTCCAAAGGACAATAAGTACTGGTGTCAGCAGAGGATTCGCAAGTGAAACGGCGCATATCATCCACAAATTCCACCACATCACATCCTGTTGAGTCTGTTCTGTCACTCTCGCACTACTGGGCTATCTATGTACAATCGACGTCAAATCTACTCAGTTTGCAGAGCAGACAGTAGATGCAGAAATGAAAGGAGTACAGAAAACCAATGAAAAGCACTGAAGTGCAAACCCTCGGCGAACTGCGCATGCGCGGTATATTAGTATACGTTTACTCTCGCGGGTCAGTATATAGCTCGCAGAGTCTGACACGGGCTAGCTACATATATGTTATGTACTACGTGCGAGGGACATACCGCAGAGCAAATCAGCTCCGTATACGCGCACTGCCGCGTTTCCAAGCACAGGGAATTTGAAAGATGCGAGAAAGAGACGAGAGCGCAAGACCGTCATCTTGTGCGGGACTATTGAACGCCGAACGCTAGGATACGCTGCTCCGCCGCTCTAGCTACTCCCGCTGCGGGACTGTCCTCCCGCCACTCATCCGAAGAAACGCGACAGGAGACCTGCGCGAACCATCGCAATCAGAGAGAGGCGAATTCAGGCGCTGTGCGGGCTGCTATACCGAAGGCGTTTGCCGTAGACTTAGTAGCTTTGTCGCGCGCACTCACTCGCGGAGCCCCACCCCCTTATTTGCGTGCGGTGGTTTGTGGCGGGCGTGAGCTGCCTGGCTATCTACTATGTATATACATGGCAAGGAGGGAGATGGGCTCAAAGCAGACACAGAAAACTGTCTAGTGGAAAAAAAAAATCAAGATATCAGTTATTTTGATCAACATTTTGTACAGATCATGTTTTGCGGGATACATTTCTTACATGAAATGCTGTTGAACTTGTTGAAAATCAACAGAAAAAACAAGGTTTCATATCATGTGTTCATATTACTTTTGTTAGCTCACGAGGTTCATATGAGAAATCAGGAACCTCGTACTAACAAATCTGATTGGTCGATTCGAATCAGCTATGCACTAAAGTAGTAGATAGCATGCGAGAGTCGATACACGCCCTTCGTTGTGACTTCTTGTGCCTTCAAAATACACAGAGCAAGCACACCCGGTCCTGTGCTAAATATAAGCGCATGCGCATTTTCCGCAGCGATAAAAATGGCCGACTACGGATTAGCCGTACAATGGTGGAAGCGCTCTAGCTTTGCAACGGAGCGTTTTCAGAGAGAACCGTTCGAAATTTCTGACCTTCATTGCCCGTTCAGTAGGTGGTATCCTTTGTGAGACGAAAGAACACTCGAGAAGTGAGATGAAGAGTAACAGACAGACTGACACACAGACAGACCCAATGAAAAGCACTAAAGTGCAAACCCTCGGCGAACTGGGCATGCGAGGTACCACTGATTGATGGGCTGGGCTGCTATTAGTATGCGTTTACTCGTGGTCTCCCGCTAGTAGCTCGCAGAGAGTCTGACACGGGCTAGCTACAGTAGTATATAGATAGCATGCGAGAGTCGATACATGCCCTTCGTTGTGACTTCTTGTCCCCTCAAGATACACAGACACAGAACAAGCGGACCCGAGCCTGTTCAAAATATAAGCGCATGCGCATTTTCCGCAGCGATAAAAATGGCCGACTAGCATTAGCCGTACAATGGCGGAAGCGCTCTAGCTCTGCAACGGAGCATTTTCAGAGAAAACTGTTCGAAATTTCTGACCTTCATTGCCCGTTAGGTAGGTCGTATCCTTTGTGAGACGAACAGACACTCGAGAAGTGAGATTGAGAGTAACAGACACACGGACGGACGGACGGACAGACAGACCCAACTACAGTACCCTCGCTGCGCATGCGCGCCGAGGGTAATGAAAAGCACTAAAGTGCAGACCCTCGGCGAAGTAGCTCGCAGAGAGTCCGACACGGGCTAGCTACAGTAGTAGATAGCACGCAAGAGTCGATACACGCCATTCGTTATGACTTCTTGTGCCTTCAAGATAGACAGAGCAAGCGGACCCGGTCGAGGTAAGCCTGTGCTAAATATAAGCGCATGCGCATTATCCACCAGCGATAAAATGGCGACTACCGCCATTAGCCATACAATGCTGGAAGCGCTCTAGCTTTGCAACGGAGCACTTTCAGAGAAAACCGTTCGAAATTTCTGACCTCCGTTGCCCGTTAAGTAGATCATATCGTTTGTGAGACGAACAAACACTCGAGAAGTGAGATTGAGAGTAACAGACAGACAAACCCAACTACTGTAACCCTCGCTGCGCATGCGCGCCGAGGGTTAACTACTGTAACCCTCGCTGCGCATGCGCGCCTAGGGTTAATAAAAAGCATCTGAGCCAATCACTGAGTCAGAAAAATGCCCTCTACCGTCCACAAAATATTGTTATTACCCACTGGGACACAACATCCTAGTGGTCAGCGGAATGTGTGCAAGGCCAGGGGTACCAGGGGCTACCGGATGAACCACTTACTTACGGCCACTGCTATGACAATATAATATACAGCAGGAGTAGATGAGCAGCTATCATGGAGCATACTGGCCATAGAAGCATTGATAGTGTATATACACACCTACGGAGAAACAGCCTTCGCCAGCACATGTCTGATATTTTTAATCAGACAAAGTTGACAAAGAGCCGAAGACCGACACTTCTTCTCAACGTGACATGCTTAAACCACCTCCACCAGCTGAACTGGAAACTCAGCCACAGTTTTATACCTCTTCCACCATTTTTTCCTCCATCCTCATTCTTTCCTCCCCCTGCACCACCTTTACCACCTACGCTAACCTGTTCCAGTAATGCGCTAGGTCGTTTACTGAAGAAGAAGGAGAAGATGGAAGAATATGATGACAAGAAATGCGAAATTGCATGGTAGCAGATTCTTGCGTGGAGTCCTGAAGACGAGTATGAGCTTCTTTGGAACATGGATAGCTATGTAGATGGGGACCCGTAAGTTGTTGCTTGTGTGTTTTGAAGACTAGCTATGTGTTTCCTGCCGAGTTTGGAGGCTTTTTATATGCGGATCACGTGAGATTTGACGCGTGCCATCCCTATATACAGCGTCTACGGACCCTCTACTGTTAAGAGGAGAAAGTGGCAATTTTCCAAATAACCTGACTGACTGGCTTTTTTATGATGGCATTATTATTCTATTTTTTCCTAAGTTTGCGGACTCGGCATCTAATCAAGACCAGTGTCTAATACACGTGCACACACTCAGAACCTTGAATGGTCAGATTCAACCAGTCAATAGCTAGTGAATTTGTTTGCAGCAGCGTAGGTGATTGCAAGTATACTACCACCAAACAACATGCTGAGCTTACACCTGGTATCTAAACGAGACTGGAGTCTATGCGATAGGGTTTTGCATATACAGTACCCACTTCTGTATAACTACCCACTGGAAATAATTTTCACCTGTGTTAGGTTATTGATGATGAATCAAGCTGTGAACTAGAACTGGAGCCAACTGGATCAGCTCTATCACCAGTGACAAGAAGGGGACAGTTGCCAACACGCTGTTTGAACATCAGTGTAAAAGTACTATCAGACAAACCGATCATTCATGACAACCAGCAGATATACTCTTGGGAACTAGATGTTATGTATTCTTTTACAGAAGTGCAAGGAAAAAGTGTTTGGAGAGACCTGCCTCTTCTGAATGAGACTCTTTTTGTCAGAAACAATGAATCACTTCAGGATGCCATTGATGCTGCTTCGGAAGGTAGCATTATTCTAGTATATCCAGGCAGTTATAAGGAGAACCTACACATAAACAAAGCCTTGAAGATTTTTTCTAGTGGTGGGTGTACAAATACACACATCTTTGGAGATGTTTCAGTCACAGCTGATGATGTTACACTCCAGGGAATCACATTCTATTCTTCAACAGAGTCGTTTTCCACTCTCAAAATTTACAACTCCTTTACAACCATCGTAAATTGCCGATTTGTTGAAAATTTAGAATCAACAGCTCTCTACTCTCCGGTGCCTTCTATGGCCATTGACTGTGAGAGTTGTCCTCATCTGCACATTGTGAACAATGACTTTTATGGCTGGAAGCACGCAGTGTTAGTGAAAACCACCGACAGTCTTGTTATACAGACAAACACGTTTAGGTTTTGCCACAGTGCAGTACTGATTTTAACTGAAGGTGCCTGCAACGTATGGGGGAACCTCTTCAAGAATAACATTATTGGAATACAGTCTCCGATTATGGCGTTGACAGAGAAGTTCTTGAATAACAATGATTTTTCTGGGAATGTTATTCCCCTGTTAGGCAATGGATCGTTTGTTTCTTACCCACCTTTGCACACAAAATATAGTGAACCTGTCCAAACCAGCAACATATTCTATGTAACTGGGGAATGTAATGTGGAGAATACCAGTTTACCACCCTATGAAAATTGTGCCAAATTTGAGACCGGTGAGTGTTCATATGTATTATGTATGTGCCTATGACTCTCTAGTTACTCTTCCCACAGGCTCAATCCCAAAAGCTGTGGATGCTGTAGAAGGTAGTTTGACAGTCACTCTGGTTAGAACCCTATCATCATTCTTCTTCTCTCTTCTAGCTGGTCAAGATCAAGAGGTGGTGCAGGAGTTTTACCTGCCAGAAGATGCCCAACCCGGTCATCTTATTGGCACCGTTAAGTGCCGTAGTCGTGGGGTGAGGTTCAGCATCACCGATACACAAGTAAGAGATGTTTTTAGTGTTCATCAAGAGAGTGGTAAGCTATATCTACTCCGTCCTGTTCTTGATTTCGAGTTAGTGCCAGAGTATAGCTTTTCAGTTGTGTTTGGTTTCCCTCAGAATGGGATGCATAAGACAACAAATGTGAGGATAGTTGTGTTAGATGTTAATGACGAGAAACCAGTATTTGAACATGATATTTACAGGGCAAATATCACTCAATTGGCACAGAGTGGTTCTAAGCTTGTTCAAATATCGGTTCATGATAAAGATCAGGGTGATACATTGAGCCTTGATCTGATAGCCTACAGTGTTCATAGTCTGGGACTCTTCAGTATTGATCAATCTTCAAGACACATAAGTACTGCTAGACAAGTGGTTGTTGATGATTTAGGGAGACACGACATGATAGTAATTGCTTCTGACCGTGGAGGGCTAGTAGCGTATGCTCTAGTAGTTATCAATATAGAGAATACGCCAAATCCTCCCTTCGGAGTACTGGATGTGTATCATGGTTATTTAGTTGTATACTCAAGCCAATTTTATGGGGTCATCGGACAGCTTGATACTGCTAGCAATCAGGCAATCACAGAATGCGGTATTCGTGGCCCCATGCATGCAGCTTTTCATCTTGACCAGAACTGGAATATTTGGCAAATAGGAGAGGTAAATCCAAATGGAGGTAGACTCAGCATCATTTGCTCTGACCACACCAGAGTTAATGCTGTGTACGTATATTCCCTTTTCCTTGACTATTATTCCCACTCAATAAGTCGTAGACAGTCAGTTGAGAATAGCACACATAATTTTGATAACACAACTGAATCAAATTCAACACTATTACCTCCCGAGCCTGATGTATTTTTACCCGAGGTTGTGTTTTTGGCTCGCATTAATGGAGAACAACGAGCGTTTAATGCATCTCCACAACGTCCATATGTGATCACTATCAGAGAAAATCAGGATGTGTTAATAAACTTTGAAATTATGGCAGTTGATAATCCTGAATCCCCTTTGCCATCAGATTATTCGTGTTCTAAGCATATTATAATGTTAGGAGAGCTTGGTACACCTTTCGAATTTAGCTCCAATGGTAACTGCAATTATGTACTTTCAAACACGGAAGTAATAGATTTTGAGGAGAACTCACGCTTTTACTCTTTGACAATAATGACATTCTACAATGGGGAACTCCTTGATACCATTGCTTACATTCAGATGTTTGTTGAAGACACCAATGACCATATCCCAATATTTGCCGACAGTCTGTTCCGCCTTTCATTTAGTGAGAACTTTGTTGGACAGATAGGACAGGTGCGTGCCACTGACAATGACTGGAGTACAGAGTACAATACACTGACCTATTATCTTAATGGCGATTCAAGGTTTCACATTAGTAATGGGGGTATAATTAGCACCCTGAGCAGTTTTGATTTCGAACAAGAACCAGAAAGCTGCTTTACATTTAGCATCTCAGCCCTTGATCCAGATGGTAACGAGGGTTTAACATCAGTTGAAGCATGCCTAGTGGATGAAAATGACAATTGTCCTAGTTTCACAAATAGCAGTTATTATTTATACGTCCTGGAAAACACACCAACTGATGTTGCACTGTATCAATTTAAAACCACCGATGTTGACAGAAGCTTGGTATTCCGGTCCTCGGTGTATTATAGTGTGAGGCCAGTGAACATACAGTCTTATGTGACTATCAATTCAGAAACAGGGGAGCTATTTTCAACCATCTCATTTGATTATGAGTCTGACATTACCACACTTGCATTCTCAGTAGTTGCCACAGACTTAGGAAACAATGAATGCTCTGCTACAGTTAACATTACTGTATTAAATGAACAAGATGTAAGACCAGTCTTTGCAAGTCCAGAATATCAACAAATTCGAATACCCGAGGAACAATTCCCAATTCAATTGCCTGCAAAGCCCCAAAACATTATAGCATGTGTTGAAGCTGTTGATGAAGAAGGTGATAGTTTAACAATCTCAATGGTTGGAAACTATGAGATGTTTGAACTGAATGTTACTGGCAATAATCAAGCATGCTTAGAGCTTGTAGAAAAAGTCGACTATGAAACAGAATATAGATATATCATTCAGTTTAGTGTGACAGATGGAACGCTAACTGAACTACGACCTGTGTTTGTACTGGTAGATGTGACAAATGTGAATGACCTTGAGCTGCAAGTTCAACAGGAGTATGTAATCAGCGTTCCTGAAGAAACTCGAATCTCTGAACCACTTCTGACCATAGAGGTGAGGGATCGAGATCGATCTACTCGATATAGGTTTCAACTAACAGACCCATCTCAGTACTTTCTTGCCAACACAATTGGAGAGCTCCTCTTGCTCAAGCCTCTAGACTATGAGTATATCAGACGACATGAGTTAACAGTGCGTGTGTTGGACGGCACACAGCAGACGTATGTGTATATTAGTGTCATAGTCCTTCCTGTTAATGAGAATCCACCTGAGTTTAGGGATGAGAGAATAGAACTTGAATTGGATGAGAATAGAAAAGTAGGATCTCTCAGATATGTCTTAGAGACGTTTGATGAGGATATAGATTCAGATGATATAGTTTTGTTTGACATTCTATTTACCCATGGTTTTACCGACACTAGCGAAAATGTTAGCAAGCCATTTGAAATAATTCAACCATCACCTGGATCTCAGAACGGTATCCTTATGAACAATTGGGTATTTGACTATGAAAGTGGACCGCAAATATTTACTGTTGAAATTTATGCGAGGGACTCTATGCAACGATCTAATATCCCATTAGAAATATCGATTATGATACAGGATGTTAATGATGAGCCTCCTGCGTTTCCACAAACCTCCTATGTATATACGTTTTCCGAAGATGCATCAGATGCTAGCTTCCAAGTTTTAGCTACAGATTCTGATTCATCGGTTGCATTTAGAAGCATAACATATTCGCTGGTAAGTATTAATGGAGGAGCACTTCCATTTTTCATTGGGAGTGCTGGATTGGTGTTTAACACTATGAGGTTTGACTATGAGACCCTACCCAATGAATATCATTTCAAGGTCATTGCAACAGACCAAGGAGGGCTTTCAGACTCAGCCAATGTTTCAGTGTTTGTAACAGATGCAAATGAGTTTAGCCCTCTCTTTTACAGCAGCATCTATGAAGCGTCCATACCCGAAACATTTGAAGTTGGGAATGAGATTGTAAGATTGACAGCTGTGGACAGAGATGGGAGTTCTGTGTATGGAGAAGTTTCCTATATTCTTTCCCCCTTCAATTTTGCATTCAGTGACTTTCCCTTTGAGATAAACAGAACTACAGGAAGTATAACTCTTAAAAATGCGGTCGATTTCGAAGCAGGGCAGGACGGTGCAGATTTCCTGATCCAAGCAGTAGATGGTGGGGGGCGTAGCTCAGATACTAGGGTTTATATCACTGTTCAAGATATCAACGACAACCCACCATGTCCCTTAGTTCGCAGCATAACAGCTAGAGTCGTAGAAAATAACTTCAATGTTCAAGTTCTACGTCGAGTACAAACACACGACCCTGATAGAATTGCACTCAATCCTGCAGTGGTGTACATCATGGAACCTGATTATCAGTGGTTCTCAATTGATCAACATGGTAGACTGTTAGTGATGGAACCTCTTGACCATGAAACAATGCCTGAGGTTAATTTTAGGATTATTGTATCAGACGGTCATAGAAATTGCTCAACTGTTGTTGAAGTAGTCATTTCTGTGCTAAACGTAGATGACAATATACCAGAGTTTCCAATTGTGAGGTATACCTACAATCTATCAGAGAGCACTGCACCAGGAGTTTTGTTTGAAGTTGTTGCTGTAGACAGTGATCCTCCTGACACGATAATGGGTTACGAGTTGATTTATGAAGAATTGGTGCTGCCTTTCACAGTTTCAGCTGTTGGGTCAGTGTCTAGCACAAGATACATTGATGCCGATGATCCACAACAGCAGTTACTTTACTTTTTTGAAGTGTTGGCTTTTAACCAATATGGCCAAGGATCAGAACAAAATGCGCAAATTACAATCAACATATTGGATGTCAATGATATTCACCCTGTGTTTGAGTTTTCAGAATATAATGTTTCTCTTCTGGAAGGTGATGTTGAAAATGTTACCATACTAATAGCTGTGCAGGCATCTGATTTAGATAGAAGTCCCCGGTTTCATTCTCTCAGGTACAGCTTGCTAGCCGACCACAGTGAAGTAGAATCTATGTTTGATGTTTTTGATAACGGCTCTGTGGTAATTACCTCTGTAATTGATTATGAGACTGCCATCTACACTGAATTTTCTCTACTGATTGTCGCATCAGATGGTGACCATGAGACCAACACAACTGTGCAAGTGGTTTTGCTGGATGTCAATGAGCATGCACCCATGTTTCCACAAACACACTATACCATCAATATTCCACTTGACATCACAAACAATGCAACTGTGTTTCATTTTAATGCCACTGATCTTGACCGTAGCTTAGACTATGGTACAGTTGAACATTATGCACTTCTTCGAAATAGTCACCCAATTGTTGGACCATTTCCATTCAGTGTAAGTTCAGATGGAAGGCTTCATACAGTTGTCAGTGGGACTCATATGCTAGAAGTTGAGTACACATTCCAAATTACAGCACGTGATCGTGGGAATATTACATCTACCCCAATTGACGTCACCGTTTCCTTCAATGATGAAGAGATAGGGTTTCACCAAACAAAGCACTGCATACATATCGTTGAGAATTACATTGTAGATGAGCCTGTTTTAGATCTCTCATTGTATGAGAATAGTGCCACTGATACTTATACATATCAGGTACATGAAACCAGTGCATCATTTCTCACCCTACAAGGAACGCAGGTAAGGGTAACAAGAGCACTTGATTTTGAACAAAGCCCAAATTTAATAGGAGTTATCCTAGCATTAAATCGCCTGGGAAGGCAAATTCCAATCACACTTTCTCTCTGCCTTCAAAATGTCAATGACAATCCAACAGACTTTGCCACTAGCAGACACTCTGTTGTTTTAAGAGACAATACAAAAGTTGAAACTCTATTAGAAATTCTTCTTGAAGATGCAGATGATAATATCATGCCTTTTGACGAGCGGAGTTGTTGTCAATATGTTGAGCCTTCTCAGCCAACCCTCAGTTTTATATCAACACATCCAGCTGCACCATTCAGTCTTCAACATGTTCCAGTCAACAAGACAGTATTGCTGTCAAATAACATTCCTCCAGTGGACTTCCCTTCCTGCACATACCTGTTTCAAGTAACCATCGAAGATCAAGATGGTCATCGCTCTCGACTTCCTCTAACAGTGGATATCCAAGTGTTGCTGGAACCACAGGTGAAACCCCTGTTTACTATGGAGGAATACACATTTACGCTGAGGGAAAATGAGGTAACTACTTTTGAGATTTTGGCAGAGAATTTAGCAGCTATGAATCCCTGCCTTGATCCATCCCTTTCTACTGTGAGATATAGCATTGATACCTCGTTTGATGGAATATTCCAAGTCAGTGATAATGGAACTATTTCTTTTAATTCAGCGTTCGATTATGAATCATCTCACAATAATGTCTTCAGTTTCAACGTTACTGCAGCCAATGAGGCTAATTTATCATCATCTGTACCAGTAACTATTCATCTTCAAGATATTAATGAATACTGTCCACAATTGGTGAATTCTTCGCTCTATTTGACAATCTCTGAGAATGCACCAGTTGGACATATTGCTGCTGAGAAAATTGC